TGGGAATGGTGGGGGTGAGAATGGGAATGATGGGAATGATGGGGATGATGGGAATGATGGGAATGGGAATGATGGGGATGGGAATTATGGGGATGGTGGGAATGGGAATGATGGGGATGGGGATGGTGGGGATGGGAATGGTGAGGATGATGGGAATGATGGGGATGGGAATGGTGGGGATGATGGGGATGGTGGGAATGGGAATGATGGGGATGATGGGAATGGTGGGGATAGTGGGAATAGTGGGAATAGTGGGAATAGGAATGATGGGAATGGGGATGGTGGGAATGGTGGGGGTGAGAATGGGAATGATGGGGATGGTGGGAATGATGGGAATGGGGATGATGGGGATGGGAATTATGGGGATGGTGGGAATGGGAATGATGGGGATGGGGATGGTGGGGATGGGAATGATGGGGATGTTGGGAATGGGATTCATGGGAATGATGGGGATGGGGATGATGGGAATGGGGATGATGGGAAAAGGAATGATGAGGATGATGGGAATGGGTTTATGGGGATGATGGGAATGGGGCAGGGTGCATAGGAATAATGGGAATATTATATAATATAACAATGATAACAATAAATATAAATAATAGCTGTTATCCATAAATTTCACACGGAACACAAATAGAAACGTCGTATAAAAACATCTGACGTATAAATTATATCAATTCCATCTGTTATTGCCCAGAGAATTCCCGAGGTTCCCCCCTCTCCCTGCCCTTTCCCAGCCCCCCCTTTTCCAGGCTGGGAAAAAACCTCCCAGGTTTTGAATTCCCGGCCTAAATTAGGTCACCCTGGTGCTGCTTCTGCCACTTCGCTTCCAATTAATCCACGTGCTCGGAAATGATCCCAAATTAACTCCGGCCTCTGCCTCTCCAGGGCAGCTCCTTCTCCCTCTGCTCCATCCCTCCGCTCTTGGAATTGTTCCTCCTCCTTTTTCTGCCCAAATCCCCCCGAAAAACAAGAGAGTTTTGTGGAGGGGGGGGGGAATAAATATTTGAGGTGGGATTTAAGGCACAAAACGGGGTCCTGGGGTGGTTTTTCTCCCTGTGAACGGGTTGTTTTCCCTGTTTTTCCAGGTTATATCCAGAAGATAAAATCGGGAGAGGAGGATTTTGAGTCCTTGGCTTCCCAGTTCAGCGACTGCAGCTCGGCCAAGGCGGGAGGGGACCTGGGAGCCTTTGGGAGAGGTGAGGGGCTCCATCCCAAAAAACGCCCCAAAGCACCCATTCCAGGGGTTTATTCCCCAAAACCAGCGATTTGGGGGGGTTTCCCCCCAAAAACACCCATTCC